TTTTTGAAGAAACAGAGTTTCACTTTATCGCCCACAGTAAAGTGCCATGGCATCACACAGCTCACAGCAACCTCCAACTCCTGGGCTTAGGTGATTCCCTTGCTTCAGTCTCTTGAGTAGCTGGGACTACAGGTGCCTGCCACAATGCCCAGCTATTTTTTTGTTGCAGTTTGGCTGGGGCAGGGTTTGAACCCATCACCCTCAGTATATGGGGCCAGCGCCCTGCCCACTGAGCCACAGGTGCTGTCCTCTTTTTTTTTCTTTTAGACACAGTTTCATCACTTTGTCACCCAGGGTAGAGTGCAGTCACATCATAACTCACAGCAACCTCAAACTCTAGGTACACATGATCCTCTTGCCTCCACCTCCCAAGTAGCTGGGACTACAGGTGCCTACCACAACGCCCAGCTATTTTTAGAGATGAGGTTTCAATCTTGCTCAGGCTGGTCTCAAACCTGTGAGCTCAGGCAATCCACCTGCCTCAGCCCCGCTGAGTGCTAGGATTACAGGTGTGAGCCACTGTGCCCGGCCCCTCAGTGGGCCATCTCTGACCAGAGACATGCTTTGTATTGTTGGCACAGCGATGGAAATAATTTTAATTAGTTGCAAACACTAAAAACTGAGATTTCTGCACACAAATCTAACTACTTTTAGGGAATTGAGAAATTCTCATGACACTGGGACTCCCATCTCCTCTGATGTAACAACTGGCTGCTCCTTGGTAACAGCACTTCCTCTGGCTGAGCACAACTGTTCAGGACGCCTATAGCTCCCCAACAGCTAACATGCAAACCACTTCTCCCATTGACATCAACTCACCCTTGTATGCACAAAAGCATACAAAGAGCAACTTACCAAAGATACCAAGAGACCCAGTTTTCTTTTTTTAGAGACAGTCTCACTTTATTGCCCTCGGTAGAGTGCTGTGGCATCACACAGCCCACAGCAACCTCCAACTCCTGGGCTTAGGCGATTCTCTTGCCTCAGCCTCCCAAGCAGTTGGGACCATAGGCACCCACCACAACACCCAGCTATTTTTTTGTTGCAGTTTGGCTGGGGCCGGGTTCGAACATGCCACCCTTGGTACATGGGGCCAGCACTGAGCCACAGGCGCCGCCCAGAGATCCAGTTCTTAACTTCCAGTTTCAAGGATATGTATAAACACTCACCAATTGCTAAGGCCAAGTGGTCCTTGAGAGAACCTTCTCTGTCAGGTCCAGCTGGAAGTCCAGAAAGCTCAGAGGAATTCAAAAACCCCTAAGTGTACAAAGAAAACAAACACGGATCAGTTCTGAACTATCCAAATAATCAAAAGAATAGGCAAAAATAGCCTAAGAAAATCATTCAAGCCAATGGTATAAATTATATTTTCATTAAGCCAAAGACAGT